TGAGCGTTAGTATATTCGGGGGGCTTATATTCGGGGGGCTTATAGTCGAGGGGCTTATAATCGAGGGGCTTATAGTCGGAGGTTTACGGTAGTCTTAAATTATCCTTTCTCACGCCGCCATTTTTTGGGGTGCTGTCTTTTCCAAATCTGAGATTGTACGCAGTGAATAAGGGATTTGTATAACTATAATTGTGAGTACAATCATTATAAGTTAATTTACAGTTAAATGTTCGAAAAATGTTTTCACATGGCTTAGATTTTTCACATAGTTTTCAAAAATGTACCCCAAAAATGGCGAATTCAGCCTTCATGAGAAAGGCTAATTACGCATAATCATTTAAAAATTATACTTTAATATACAGGTTACAGTTGACGGTATGCATTGGCAAAATATTAATACACGATTTCCCAGAACACTGGCCAACTGCTCCACAGACCATTCATAACTACCTGGCCAGTGATAACCAAGGATCGTGGTTTGGGGCACTGGTTGCTCTCTACCAAATAGTGAAGAAGTTCGAGTTTAAGAAAGCAGAACAACGAACCATTCTTCACGACACTATGAAACAATTCCTACCTCTCATGTACCAACGCTGTGCGAGTTTAATGCAAGATCAATCGCAAGCTGCTACTGAAATAAAGAAAATGGTCATAAAGACTCTTTTTGCAGTGTTTCAGGTAAACTAAGGGAGTGGTCATTATTTATACATGTATGTACTATTTAAAATATGAGCAACTCTAGTGTTTTATCAGATATAAAGATACCAGGCAAAGCCAAGTATCTTTAGGTCTGATAAAACACACACTGCGAATGTTTTAAATTGCTTCATAAACGATCGATCTGGTAAGTCCATTCTAATTAAGTAATTTTCAAAAAATATATGTTGTGTAAGTCGAGAAAATCAAAGTTAAAGTTCATGTAAATCAAGGGAAATCTCTATCACATATAAAGATACTACACGCTCATGATTTTTCTTTGTGTTTTCCTCATGAATTATTAATGAGTTTTTGAAGGCAAAAACTCATTAATAATAAATAAATTAATATCATTAATAAAAGGGTAAATCATTTTTGCTGTTCCGACCATTAAAAAGTCGAAATTATTTTTTACCCAACCTCAACTATCAGTTAAAAAAATTCGATACCAACGGCTGGCCAAAAACTTTACAAAAGGATACAGCGGTTCAGTTGTCACACATGTCCTATATCCCACTTCTGTGACATGAGTTTGATTGTGCAATTTTCTGCATTGTATAGTTTCATGCTGCACATGTACTTTCTCTGAAGGCACCATTTGCCTCCTGACAAATCGGAAAATGATCAAGATAGTGACTCTGATTGATTTACATATTATTGTATTGACATACGATTGTTGACATTAGGGCCATTTATACGACCGAAAATAAATCAGGGCCTAAATAAGCCGCGGCTTAAATAAGTCGCGAACAACTCGTATAAACCGTCAATTTGCAATAAGCCACGGCTTATTTAGGCCTAGTTTTCAACTCTGCATGGGCTTATTTTAGTTGCAGCTTATTGCAAATTGACTGTTTATACGAATTGTTCGCGACTTATTTAATCCGCGGCTTATTTTCGCTCGTATAAAGTGAGTTATTCTTCGGAAATGACAATAAATTTTTATTACTCAACCCATAATGACCCGTCCGTGAAGTGAATATTTATGAAACTTAAATTTCCTATTTAAGATTTTTTGTTTTCTTTAGTATCATCTTCCGACTGATGTAATTACCGAACAAAATCTTCCTTCATGGATGCATTTATATCAAGCAATTGTGGACCAACAAGTGCCCGAGGTATGTCTTTAGTTATTCGCCTAATTTCAAAATAGTGTCAGTTTCTAAGCTCGTTGGTGAAATTGAAATTGACACGACGTAGCCATGTTTTCACCGTACCGGATAGCTTTCAGTATAAAGCGGCGCAGTATAAAGCACCTATCCGATACTGCATGAATGCACAACTTTCAAAAGCTGTGCAAAACAACATTCTCCATTGCAATAATTCAATAGATACAGATAGGTAGTTTATTGAAGTTTACGTTGCAGCCATGAACTGAATTACGTGAAATTTACAAGAATTTATAAAGAAGGGTAACAAGGGGAACAAGGAATTCTATTTTATTTACAAGAAGAACAAGGAATTTAGAAGAACAAGGAATTCTATTTTATTTACAAGAATTCCACTATGTCTATATGCATTATGTTAAAAAATACTATTGCTAATTATGCCTTAATTGGGTTACGGTAAAAACTATTTCTATAAAATGATTCGTGTTTAAAACAGTTCCTATACGGATCGTGTTTATACTTAGATTGCCTATAATGTATTTGTTAATTATGCCTTAATTGAATTACTGATGATAAAACTGTTCGTATTTACTCTTGGGTTTATGAATTTCGTCTTTTTTCTCAAATGAAGTGAGATACTGTTTTTAGCAGGCAATAGTGTAATTCCTCTGGAAATAGCATTACTAATAGGTACGGATAGGTGTTTCTCGAAAACACGTAGCCTAATTGTGACTTTCTGCGCCGTTTTCAAGCCGCTTTCGCGTAGTGTGAACATAGTCTGAAACAGGCATCGAAGTTAACTGTACATGTTTTATTTTTCTCTTGAAAGGAATGTACACAGTTAGATGAAGACGAGAGGGAAAAATCGCCATGGTGGAAACTAAAGAAATGGGCGATTCATTCAATGTGTCGTTTATTTGAAAGGTATTTACCTGATAACGCGTCCGGTTAGAAATACTGGGGCGAGGGTATTACAGCTAGGCAGGCGAACCCCGCCACGCCGAGCTCGTATATATATCTTAACCAACACTGCATGGATTTTGGGGGAAACGTTGGGGTGGATGATGTAGGAGGTTGATGAGGCGTGGTATAGCACCTTATTATAACCTTGGCATTTTGGCAAAGAGTAGCATATTACTGTACATACAAATCAGAAATGAAAGATATATCTCCAGTACTTTAATTATACTTGGTTTAGTCTACAGTATATATTATTAATTATATGATCATATACAGTTCTATACTTCAAATGTATAAATAGTACACACTTGCACATCTGGTTCCCCAGAAGGCTTGGGAGAAGTATCATTGTGAAATAATAAGGTGATATATAGTATCTGATGTTCCATCAAATTTCCACTGTGTTTTATGACAGTATTGTATTCTGGGTTGAAAATGTTTTCTTTTAGGATAGAGAATGTTTCAAGAGAACTAGTAACAGTTTCCAATATTCTTCAGGGATCGACATAACCATCAATCCATTATGCATTAATAATTAACAATTATTCGCCGAAGGCGAGGTGAATATCGCTGAATAAAAACCGAGACGAAGTCGAGGTTTTTATTCAGCGATATTCACCGAGCCTGAGGCGAATAATTGTTTTATTGTATAATTACAAAGGTGATTATTTAAAAAAAATAATATAACACATCTCAATCTTTTTTCATACGGCGGCGACTTTAGCTTTCTATATCCAGGGCCGCTCATATCGCCATCAAGAATGCTTTTTTTAGTAATTTCCATCACTTTTTCTTATAGAAACGTAGAATTTTGATAAACATTTGTTTATTGCGTCAATATTGATGTCTTCAAACTCATTTGCGAATTCTGACTGTCGTTGAAACAAACCTGTTGTAGAAAATACTTTTTTTACAAACGTAAACAAATGTCTAAACTATTGTACGGCAACTTAAATAAAACGGTGTTTTATGCGAAGTAGTTTCCCCATCTCGTAGTTTCCCATCTCGAAATACTTTTAAGCCAAATTTTGTCACTTCTTTCGTGCTTTTAGGTACAGTATTTTCTTTAAAATTTAATTTATTTCTTCATCTGTCACTTCGACGAAACCACTCGCCGCCATTTTGAAAAAAAAAACGTTTAGGTGATTATCGCGTAATAATCCGAGGTCGCTTGACCAATCAGCGGCCACAATTTTCGATAATCACCTTTGTAATTATACTAATTATAATTAATGAAGAGCATAGCCGTTGATAACCTCTTCATGATAACCAAAGTAATGAGCAAAATTTCACAGATGACATAGTATGACATGGTCATAGAGAATATGTTGTGCACGTCCAACATTACCGAATCATCAATAGCACAGTATAAATAAGGGGCCACGTCCATATTCATGTTGCCACAAATAATGTCGAATCGACATTATTTCACCCACTCCAGATAACGTCGATCGGATCGATATTCAGTTTTATTTTGACCGATAGACTCACAATTATTGTACTTTACTGCTGTCATTGGCTGGGATTTACCCTGGTTCCAGAGGTTTAAAATAAACCTCTGGTTGAAAGCGGCAATTGATTCATCGAGCCGCGCCAATCAATTTGAATTAGGATCAGATCCTGACTCTGTCTCCTAATTGGATGATTGGATTAAAGCTCTCTGATTGGTTATAGATGTTTTATTTGAATCAATCAAAGAGCTTTAATACAATCATCCAATCAGGAGAGAGAGTCCGGATCTGACCCTAATTCAAACTGATTGGTGCGGCTCGATGAATCAATTGCCGCTTTCAACCAGAGGTATATTTTTCCTCTCCCCTTCGCAATGAAAATAATTATAAGTAATAGCATAAAAAGAGGCGAATTAGCTATTAAAACATCCCGCCCGATGAGGGTCGTTTAGTAAAATTCCCTTGGGCGCCGCTCGATGAGGGTCATAGGATGAGGTACATGGGATTGTATTTTGATACAATATTTAAATAGTGATTTGGTTTTCGCCAGAGTGGCAATAAACAATACAACCAAGATATAGCCGTTCTCAAAATTAAAATGTCCATAATACATGTCATATTCTTGTTGGTAGAAGTTGGCAATCATAGTAAATTATAAAACAATCTTCTAATGGTGACCTTGTTTGTTAAACATGATATGTCTACTGACAGTCTACGAAATTAGAAAAGCTATGCGCTTGTGGAGGTTCCGCTGATTCGGCTGAACTTAGCCTTCAGCCTTCTGTATATAGCCTATATAAGTGTAAAAAAATTGGAAGTATAGAAGAAACAGAATAGCATGTTAAAATCTTACCAGTTTAAAGCTTTCAACTGTCTTGGTGACCTAATAGCTTTAATTCAACCCGATTCGTTCTTTCGTTGTTGTTGCACCAATAAAAATACATTAATTCATAAAGAGTAAGTCCAGAGTACAACACAACATGAAAAACACAGTACAATTCGGTGAAAATTTAGCGAAATTGCCAGAAATATTATTTGCCCACTCATCACGTAACCGCCATTTTGAAACTGAACTATATATGTCACTGAAGCATACTTGCAAAATCACCCATAATATCCATAAAATACACCGATGTACCTGTGAAATATTCATTTAATTTTGTGATATCCTAAAGACAGACAATTAGCATTTTAAAGCTCCCTCGGGCTACGCCCGACGGAACAATAAACCTAAAACAAAGGATGTGCACGGTGTAAGGTACGGCTCAACATAAACACACAGCTCATTATAACCGCTTTGAAGTTTACTGAGTTTCCAGACCATGTCTCGAAAGACTATGCCACCAGTTAGGCCCCTAGACCATGCCAGGTGCAGTGTTTCACCGGTTCCCTATGAGACAATCCGGCCCGGAGCTGCCTGTAGTGATTTTTCATTTGGTCAAAATCTAACCACCAACCACGAGCAAGGCTTGACGAGCACCTCACCTAATACATCTGGCTGGGTCCATTCCTGGGTGATGATGAATGAATTTCGTGATTGATGCTGAAATTATGTTTCTTTTTTATCAATATAGGTATGGCACTCCAGGATCGATTGATACAGTGTACGAAACATTCGCAACATATTTTTGTAAAACTTTTGCAGGTTAGTATACTTAGGCCTGTTTCAAACGTCGCTCTTCTCATGTGCCAAACGCATTAAAAACAATAGATATAATCAGCTGAATAGCCCATGAGAAGCGCGACGTTTGTGAGCGACCTTTCGCTCACACCATATACACTCATGGCTAGTTTAACCAGGAAAACAAGCTATTGCCTGACTATTGAAATTATTCTCATTTGGGATTGAAATTTAAGTCGCTTGAATCAAGATGGCGCAACGCATGCGTAAGCATCTAGTTTTGGTGAATCTCTACTCGCAATTTTACATCGAAATTGAGTGATTAAAAAAACATTTCACAGAACTTGGAAGTTTGTAGACTGAACTCGCGATGCCATACGTTTCCCAAATGTGTAACAAGTAGATGTGTGCATCGGATCGGATTGGACGTTTATAGTCGGACAATTGCCTAATGTTTAAAATCCGATCCGAAATTGTCTAATCCGATCCGAGTCTAAATTGATAAAGAATTCCAATCCGATCCGATCCGAAGAATTCTTTAATAAAATAAATTTCTCATTCAAGTTGAAATATTTAACCAAATAAATATAAAAGCAAGAAATACATGTCAAGAAGCTGACAAAGTGACGTCCAATTGAAGTATCAAACAAATAATGCAGCGACAACCGCGATAATGCTTTGATAAATGCGTGGATAATTAATTCTTGCGTTAATGCGTGGATAATTAATTCATTTTATTTCGGATATCGAAGTCCGATCCGTTCCGACTACGAAACAACTTTATCAATCCGATCCGAAATGAATATTTTGGTTCCGAAATCCGAACAAATCCGATCGGATTCGGATCGGATTTGCACACCTCTAGCAACAAGCATTTGGGCAAATGTTCGAAAATTGGATGAACATTTAAATCCTAAAAGTGGAAAAAATTTCAACTTCAACCCACCACTATAGATCAGATGGTATTTAGTCATTTTGTATCGCAATTATTCAATCAAGGTGTCACTTGACAGCTAAAAGCCTGATCTTTATATAAACGAAAACAGAAAACTTATAAACGTAATAATTAACGCAAGATAACCTGTCAAAGTTGGATTACCTTTTTTTACATACCCCGCGTATTAACCGTTTTAAAGTTAACATATCCGCATTTTAGTTACCCTCTTTTCCGCGTTTTGCCGTCCATCCGCATCCGCGTTTTACTACCCTCTCGTTTTTGCTGCACACACGATCAGATCTCTATTGAAAAGCTGTTATTTCTTGAAACGAGGATTAAATATTTATTAACCATTAAAATTTGTAGTTGGGAATACACAGACAGTATTAAAAATTCTTGACCATCAGAGGAGGAAGATATATGTCGCTCCAAGAGTTGTGCAAATGGCGCTGAACTATCTCAATAATGGGTAAGCGATATTGTTATATAGCTAGGGTGAACACCAAACATGTTTGGCTGATTTGTGGTCACGTGACTTCAGATAAATGCAATGTATCCCGCCTGGCAACAAGTGAAAAATTGTTGCCCGCCCCGACCGGCTACTTACATAAATAAACAAAATGGAGGCACAACTAGCATAATTAGAAACTACGATTTTCCAAGTTTGTGTTAAAATAAAGAATGTAAAAGAGAAGAAAAATACACAACAGGCAACAGAATATGCTGCTGAAACCGTTGGAGTAGGTTCTTTTAATTTTAAGCACTATTTAAAGCACGCGTAGGAGTGTTTTATCAGATATAAAACGCGAGGCGCAGCCGAGCGTTTTATATCTGATAAAACACTCCTACAAACACTCCTACAGTCCTTATATCTGATAAAACACTCCTACGTTTTATATCTGATAAAACACTCCTACATTTTATATCTGATAAAACACTCCTAGAGTGTTTTATATCTGATAAAACACTCCTACAAGTGCTTTAAATGGCTTAAAAAACGACCCATCTTCTGATGAGTACATTAGCGAAGTAATTTTTAAAATAAACTTTGTCTAAACAGAGAAAATCAAAGCTAAAGTTTATGTAAATTAGCATGATTTTTTATCACATATAAAGTTACGACACGCTTATGATTTTTCTTTGTGTTTTCCTCCTGAATTATTAATGAGTTTTTTAAGCTTGTTTACACTATAGTGTTTTTGTCACGAAATACAGTTGTTGTATGGATGTTGTTGAATGTCGATTTTTGTTCGTCGCTATATAACAATCTCGACTTCGTCTCGGGAAACATTGAGACTCTCGGGAAAACAAAACAAAACAAAACAAACAATTTCCCTCGGGAGCAGACATTGAGTGTATATTATTTCCTGTACCGGGTGTCCCAAAAAAAAGTACTCCGGTTTGATTTCTAATAACTTCTAAACAGGTAACGCTATCAAACAGAAATAACTTGCATTAAATAGAGGAAGGACTAACTTAGATTTTGATATATTACAGTTGTACTTTACTTAAAAATTCACGGAGATATTAATGTTCAAAATCGGGAGCATATTTTGGGATTTATTTAAAGTTAGCGAAAATCGGCGTATCAAATTTTAACTCCAGCGTTTGTTTGCTTAATGACATATAAGGGTAAATTGTATTTCAGCGAATTGTCGTTAGGGTTTGTAAGGGATATGGCGTAGATTTAGACATCTTACATGTAAGTCTTAACTCATTGTTTCCTGAAATATGAACGTTCGAAATTATGTAAGTATTTAATAGGTCTTTGCAAACTTAAGGTACTGAAAGACCATGCAAGGCAGGCGCTTCAATTTTTCTTGAATAACCTATTTTTTATGTTTTTCATGGGTTCAAAACAAAGTTGATTATTTCTCGGTTAGAGCAGGATTAATATTGTTCTTTAATGGAGGAAATAATATTGTTTTTTGCAAATACACATCACAGTATCAAAGCTACTATTTTGTTACGTTTTGTTCCAAAAATGTTGGATGTCTCTGGGGAGTTGCATGCTTGTTATGTCTTTACTTATGGAGTTGTATGGTTTGATTGTGTTTCATTTTCAGTTTATTCTGAACTTGCCAAGATTAAGAAAGGCAATAGAGTTTGGGTGTTCTTAACAAGATTTCAGAACGTTGCAGAAGTTAGAAAATTCATTCAATGTGAAGTTAGAAAATTCACAATTCCATTGTGACAGCGTGCCCTAATTCAGAACTACGAACGATCCATGACGCTCCTTCGCGATGCAGTGGTCTCATGAAATAAGGAAACGTATTCGTGCTAGGAACACACGCGGATTTCGGACGAATAAATCTTGCTTGTATTTTGTAGATAATAATACTTTGTTTCATGATAAACAATTTGTCAAGTGTCATTTATTTACTGCTAATAGTGCATGTTTCAGTCGGGTAAATCTTGATTAATATTTGATACGCTGTTTTTGGCATATTTCAGACACATCAAGAAATATGCTCCCGATTTTAAACATTAATATCTCCGTGAATTTTTAAGTGAAATACAACTGTAATATATCAAAATCTAAGTTAGTCCTTCCTCTATTTGATGCAAGTTATTTCTCTTTAAAAGTTTTACTTGTTTAGAAGTTATTTCGAATCAAACCGGAGTACTTTTTTTTGGGACACCCGGTATATGCACAGAAAAGGATAACAACTTAATCGGATTTTAAATCGGCGATTTAATAATAAATTAAAGTATACTGAATGGTGTTTTTGTGATATCCAGAATTGTTAATATCATATACAGTCAAAGGTTGAAGTTCACGGATAATGGGCAATTCTTAAATTACGCTGCCCATACAGATATTTAAGGCAAAAGCAAAACCACATGTCACTTTGAAAACGCAAGAAATAGCCATTGTGGACTTTTAATTTTCCGGGTGAGCATGCCCCAGGAGTAGTGGCGAAGCTAGACATAGCAACAGGTCATGTAAGGAAATTTTTAATGATTTGTATTATTCAAACCTTTACAACTGTATTGTCTTTAACTTAGTTACAGTGGTGTCAAGTAACGAAGTAAATGTACTTGGTTACTGTACTTGAGTAGAAGTGAACATGTAACAAAGTAAACTTTTTCTGCAGTACTTTTATTTGGAACGAAGTCATTTTAAGAAGTAACGTTTTACTTCGTTATTTTCATTTTGTGGCGAAGTATTTCGTTACTTTCTAACTTTTGTTTAATTTTACGTAATTTATTCACGATTTATTTTAATTTGGGATAGGTAATAGGACCTCTACTTGCGTTTGGGATCTCTCGTTTGTGACTTACTTATAAGCATTATTTATTTAATGAATTTCTTATATCTTCAAAGGGGTCTGGAAAGTAGACCATGCCGTGAAATATTGTATGTTTATAATGCATGTGCTGTGTTTTTTGTATCTCAATCCATGAATGGAGAAGTCCCTACACTCTGAACAATGGAAATTGCTTTTACTTTGTACTTCAAGTATTTTTTAAGGATACTTTGTACTTTTTACTTAAGTACGTTTTGCCTCCAGTACTTTTTACTCTTACTCAAGTCGTTTTATTGTTAAGAGGCAATTTTTTTCAATGTCACGTATATATTTGCAATGAAAAGTGTTCAAAATCTAAAATCTTTTTGGCGTCCCTCTCAAAATTACTTTGTTTTAGCTTTATTCTCTAGTTTATAGAGTTAGCTACCTTTTTAAATGCATCTGCCGGTTGAGAAACATAAAATAATAGTTAAAAATTGTCAATTAAAATACAATTATCAGTGATGCTTAAAAATTTATGCCATATTTACAGTCATATAAGCAAAACGTACTGAACTTCAGACATCATTTTCTCTTTGGCATATCATTTAGAATCTCTTCATTTTAGCATTATTTTACAGATAAAACACTAAACATAATTTTAAGTTTGTTTGCCGATTGAGAAACGTATCAAAAAATAAAATTTTTGAATTTTATCATAACCTCAAGTGATATATTATACGTATTAGTTTTGAACGTGTGTTACGTAACATACAAAAAAATCTCCTCTTAATAGACCTTTCCCCTTATAACTAAAATTTCGATCTAGACAAAAATTTCATCACAACTTGAAAGAGCATCACAAAATTAGTAATATTCCAAAGTTTTGTTGCAAAATCTAGTAAAATGCGAATAATATAGCCTTGCGAAGTTTGACGTTTTCAGTCATTTTTCATTATACAAACGGGAAATTGCAGCCCCAACGCCCGAATCGGATGTCAATTTCCCGTTTGTAATACAAAATGACTGAAAAACGTCAAACTTCGCAAGGCTATATTATTCGCATTTTACAAGATTTTGCAACAAAACTTTGGAATATTACTAATTTTGTGATGCTCTTTCAAGCTGTGATGAAATTTTTGTCTACATCGAAATTTTAGTTACAAGGGGAAAGGTCCATTACTTCTACTTTTACTCGAGTATAAATTCAAAGTAATTTAGGCACCACTCCTTAGTTAGATGCAGTTTTATTAGCATAGCATGACCAGTTACCATGGCTAGTTTCGTCACTGCCTAGGACCCTCCTAGCCATTCAGGTATATCCAATACGCCATGACCTCGTTTCTCAGGATCGCCTTGTTTGTAAAGACCGCTCATAAATATTTTGCGCTTCGTAGGTGCATTGGCAGATAAATGAGTTTTGCTGGCAGATACGTCGGTTAAATATACATTGTACATGTGAACTACTGTATTCCCATAATTAATTGTAGCATACAATATAGAGATATGCAGTGCATGGCATTATGCATTGTATGGGGATAATTTTATATGTGAAGTCCATAAATTTTGGTGTCAATAACAGGTACTTGTATATAAATAGCAATCTGGCTTCTGTATACAATGATAAAACTTCGAAATCATACCTCAAATAAAATACACAATATGTCCAATACTTTTTATTAATCAAATATGCATAATTCCCATAAGTAAATAGATTACTTCATGTTGGCCTCTCTGTATACGGTTTTATTTCGTATGATCGTATCCATTCACCAAAAATGACATGGAAACTGATTATAAAGTATTCGGAAATGAAATAATTTCAATTTTTCTGCTGTTTTATAATAGTGTTTCTAATGCACTCCACTGGAAAGTGATGAAACCTCACATGCACGTACGTATGATTTCTAACGAGGGCTGTATCACTCGAAGAAAGTGCTCGAGATTTTATGGATTTCGAAAATCCTTTGGGATTTTTCGAGATTTTTTGGAATTTTTAGGGCTTTGATACAGGGGCCGGTTGTTCAAAGCTGGATTAGCGCTAACCCTGAAGTATCTCCGTAACGTTTCTATATATATAGAAAATATTTCCATATTTATAACGTTTATTATTAGCATGACAAAATTACTGGATGCTGATTGGTTGAGAGGAGTACAGTTATTTCATTAATTGTACTGCAGTACAATTAATGATTTTCCCAAAACAAACAAAATGGCGGAAAGATATTTTAAACACAAGCGTGAAATGAAATTGCCGTGAAGGAACTAGATGAAAATACGAACAAAAGCACCAAATTTTGCTTGAACAAAAGAACTAAATGAAAATACAAACTAAAGCACCAAATTTTGGGTGAAAGTGTGACAGAACTGGGCTTTGACGAGAGAATATGATGTTGACATTGAGAAGTACGTATCCAATTTTGTCATGCTAATAATAAACAAGTAATCATGCGATGTTGCTCGTACAATTAGAGATTAATAGTACTCACGATGTTTGGAAATTTGCCAAATTGGACTCGCCCCGGCGGCTCGTCCAATTTTGGCAAAATTTCCAAACATCACTCGTACTATTAATCCCTAATTGTACTCGCCATCGCATGATTACCTATACTAACCCAGGATTAAGCTAACCGACTTTCGAACAATGGGCCCCAGATTTTAATTTTTAGGGATTTATACAGATTTTTTAAGGAGATTTTTTAAAGTGATACACCCCTCGATTTATAACTTGTAGTTGCCATTTTTAAAATCACTTTTACCACTTGCTTATTGTAGCTAAATTATCACACCCGCTGTGCATAAAACCTTCAAAATTGTTAAGAGGCATTAGCGATGAAAAGCGTTCAAAATCAAAAACTGTTTGGCGTGCTTCTCAAAATGAATGTATTGAAGTAATAGTATTATTTTCTATTATAGTTTCTACAGTTATAGCTACCTTTTTAAGTGCGTCTGACGGATGAGTAAAAAATTGTCAATTAAAATTCTCCGGTTTCTTATGACGTCACATCTACTCAAGTGGGCGTCAACTGTCAAGGGTCTGTGTCAGGGGTAAATGACGGCTTTTATATTGTTTTATATTGGCTTTTATAATAGCCGCATAACTCATTTACATACGATGCATAGACATCCATTTTGTTTCTTTGTTGTTTTATTTGACCTCAGTTCAATGATTGACCCCCACTTGAGTCAAATTATCCTAAAACATCACGTGATTGAAACCCAAGAATACAATTATGAATAATGCTTTAAATTTGACGCCATATTTACAGCAATATGAGCAAAACTTATTGAATTTTATGCAGGCATAATTATCTCTTATACTATCTAAACTCTCATTTTTTTAATTTTATTATATTGTTACGGAACACTCTCACTTATATATAAAGTTTTAGGTTAAAAATAAAATAACAGAAGATATTTGCTTGAACGCAGGTGAAAGGTTCGTGCAAGCAAATATTATCCTAAGCATAATGAGAGGAGATAATAGATATTTTGCCACAAATCAAAGTAAAATAAATATATTTCGGTTCTTCGGAAAACATTCATTATTCCTTCCATTAGGCTATGACAGTTTGTTCGACTAGCAGCCGTTATATATGCGAAGATGTGATGTTGTGATTGACCTGTTTCCTATAGTTTATCTTGTGAGCAGATTTGTTTATTAAAAAGAGCAGCTGTCTGAGGTCTCATGAACATTGACCTTTCACGTGGACAGACTCTAGGCTTAAAAATTGGTCATCCCAAGCTAGATAACACTCGGTCATTCAATTATAATATTACGTCATCAAAAGCTTACTTCGGTAAGTTCCCTTTAAAAAATAAGTAAATTCATAAAATAAGGGTTATATGCTTATAGTTCGAACATTTTCCTATAAGATAAGTCTAAGTTAGTTAAGTTATGAAGATTCTTAAACTTGATCAACCGAGCATATAACCGACTTGAGAAGTACGGCGACGCCGTGAATAAACAAAGATAGAGAGCTGGTACGAGAGTTCGAAAGTACACCACCTCGGTGCTGAAAATTGAATGCTGACCGCGCTTTTGGCGAGGTGTAAGAGACCGTCGTTTCAGGTCATGTATAGGCGTCTTTGGTAGTTGGAGGTGTTAGTACAGGCGTTGATAGTGTTGTTGGTTGAGGTACAAATAAAACTGACACGTATGCAGTGTATGGGTGTCAAGACCCGTTCATCAGGCCGATCCTCCACCAGTTGTTATGTATCGTCTTTAATTAATACGTGAGGAACGGAATCGTTAAGCTTATTTATTACGGTTCTAATTCGTTCTGAGTTTCGTTCTGTTTTCTTATTCTGAGTTTCTGCTTTACTTTGCGTCCACTGCTAGTTCTGCATTCCCTGCTAGTTCTGCATTCTCTGCTAGTTCTACATTCTCTGCTAGTTCTGCACTCTCTGCTAGTTCTGCATTCACTGCTAGTTCTGCATTCTCTGCTAGTTCTGCATTCTCTGCTAGTTCTACATTCTCTGCTAGTTCTGCATTCTCTGCTAGTTCTGCATTCCCTGCTAGTTCTGCATTCACTGCTAGTTCTGCATTCTCTGCTAGTTCTGCATTCTCTGCTAGTTCTGCATTCTCTGCTAGTTCTGCATTCTCTGCTAGTTCTACATTCCCTGCTAGTTCTGCATTCTCTGCTAGTTCTGCATTCTCTGCTAGTTCTGCACTCTCTGCTAGTTCTGCATTCTCTGCTAGTTCTGCATTCTCTGCTAGTTTTGCATTCCTTGCTAGTTTTGCATTTCCTGCTAGTTTTGCATTTCCTGCTAGTTTTGCATTTCCTGCTAGTTTTGCATTTCCTGCTAGTTTTGCATTTTCTGCTAGTTTTGCATTTCCTGCTAGTTTTGCATTTCCTGCTAGTTTTGCATTTCCTGCTAGTTTTGCATTCGCTGCTAGTTTTGCATTCGCTGCTAGTTTTGCATTTCCTGCTAGTTTTGCATTTCCTGCTAGTTTTGCATTTCCTGCTAGTTTTGCATTTCCTGCTAGTTTTGCATCTGATAGTTCTACATTCTCTGCTAGTTCTGGAATCTTTTTGCTGGCCACTTCCTTTTATACTATACTAGCGGTCGAGGGGAACTTTGTGCATGTGACTACAAATGTGGGGTGATTCAAGTCCAACCAATCAGCACCGAGGTGGTGTACTTTCGAACTTTCGTACCAGCTCTCTATCTTTGTTTATTCAGGGCGTTGCCGTACTTTTCAAGTCGGTTATATGCTCGGTTGATCAAGTTTAAGAATCTTCATAACTTAACTAACTTAGACTTATCTTATTGGAAAATGTTCAAACTATAAGCATATAAACCTTATTTATGAATTTACTTATTTTTTAAAGGGAA